CAACACATCTGTTTTTGTACCAATATCATGCTGTTCTATTACTATTGCTCTGTAATACAATTTGAGATTAGAGATGATGTTACCTCAAGCAGGTCTTTTATTATTCAGAATTATTTAGCTATCTTGAGGGTTTATGTGTGTGTGTGTGTGTGTGTGTGTGTGTGTGTGTGTGTGTGTGTTTACATATGAAGCTAAAATTGTCCTTTCAAGATCCATGAAGATTTGTGTTGGAATCCTGATGTGAATTGCATTGAATCTGTAGAATTGCTATTGATAAAATGGCCATTTTAATTATGTTAATCTTACCAGTCCATGAGCATCGGAGATCTTTCCATTTTCTAATATATTCTTCAATTTCTTTCTTCACTGTCTTAAAGATTTTATCTCACAAGTCTTTCTCTTGCTTGGTTAGAGTTACCTCAGCATATTTTACATTTTTTGAGGCAGTTGTGAAAGGTGTTGCTTCTCTGGCTTCTTTTTCAGTCTGCTTGTCATTCATATATAGGAAGGCTAACTGATTTTGTGTTAGTTAATTTTGTACTCTGTCAGTTTGCTGAAAGTGTTTATCAGCTATTGGGGTTCCCTGTGAAATTTTTAGGGTCACTTATGAATACGCTCATGTCGTCTGCAAATAAATATACTTTGACCTCTTCATTTTCAACATGTATCTCCTTGATTTTCTTGAGCTGTCCTATTGCTCTAGCTAAAACTTCAAGTACTATATTCAGTAGGTATAGAAAGGGTGGACAAACTTGTTTTCCTGATTTCAGTGGACTTGTTTTGAGTTTCTTTCCATTTATGTTGATATTGGCTATGCGTTTGATGTAAACTGCTTTTTATTATATTAAGATATGTCCCTTGTATCTCTAATCTCTCCAGGACTTCTGTTGTGAAGGTATGTTGGATTTTGTCAAAGGCCTTTTCTGTATCTAATGAGATGATCCTTGTGGTTTTTGTCTTTCATTTTGTTTCTATGGTGGATTACATTTATCAACTTATGTATATTGAACCATCCCTGCATCTCAGAGATGAAGTCTACTTGATCAAGGTTGATTATCTTTTTGATATGTTCTTAGATTCGGTATCCAATAATTTTATTTAGAATGTTTGCATCTATGTTCATAAGGGAAATTGGTTTGTATTCTCCCCCTGTTGGGTTTTTATGTGGTTTAGTATCAGGGTAACTGAGGCCTCATAGAAGAAATTGGGCAATACTCCCTCTGTTTCTATTTTGTGGAGTAATTTCAAGAGTATTGGCATTAACTCTTCTTTGAAAGTCTGGTAGAATTCTGTGCTGTGGATGATGTTCATTGTTAATAACAAATCTGATTGGCTGATAGCAGGGCAGGAAAAGATTGAGCCCAAAAGCCAGACTAAGAGAATTCTGGGAAGAGGAAGGGCAGAGTCAGGAGTCACCAGACAGCTGCAGAGGAAGCAAGATGAGAATGCCACACTGAGAAAAGGTCCCAAGTCATGTGGCTAAACATAGACAAGAATCATGGGTTAATTTAAGTGTAAGAGCTAGTTAGTAATTAGCCTGAGCTACTGGCCAAGCATTTATAAGTAATTTTAAGCCTCTGAGTCAATTATTTGGGAAGTGACTGCTGGGTATTTGGGAGTTGCTGGCAGGACAGAAACTTCCACCTACAGTTCTGCCACAAAACCATCTGGTCCTGTTTGTTTGTTTGTTTTTTATTTTTTCAATAGGGGCTATAAGTCTCTTTAAATTGCTTATCTGTTCTTGATTTAACGTTGGTAAGCGGTATGTATCAAGAAAATTATCCATTTCTTTTAGATATTCCAATTTGGTAGAATATGGGTGTCTTAGTTAGGGTCTCTATTGCTTTGGCGAGACACCATGATGACAAAGTAAATTGGGGAAAGTGTTTATTTGGCTAACACTTCCACATAGCTGTTCATCACTGAAGTCAGGACAGAAACTCAAACAGGGCAGGATCCTGGAGGCAGAAGCTGATGCAGAGCCCATGGAGGGGTGCTGCTTACTGACTTGCTTCTCTCATAGCTTGTTCAGCCTGCTTTCTTATGGAACCCAGGACCACCAGCCCAGGGGCTGCACCATCCACAATGAGCTGGACCCTCCTCCATTGATCACTAATTGGAAAAAAAGCTTTACGGTTAGATCTTATGAAGGCATTTCCTCAACTTTGGCACCTTCCTCTCTAATGACTCTAGCTTGTGTCAAGTTGGCACAAAACCAGCCAGTACAATAGTTTTTTTAAAGAATGGCCTTATGATTCTCTGGGCATCTGTTGCTATGTCCTCCTTTTCATCTCTAATTTTGTTAATTTGGAGCGTCTCTCTCTGCCTTTTAGTTACTTTGGATAAGAGTTTGTCAGTCTTACTGATTTTCTCAAAGAACCAAATGTTTGTTTCATTGATTCTTTGTATTTTGTTGTTGTTGTTTCTATTTTATTGATTTCAGCTCCAAGTTTGATGATTTCTTACCATCATCTCATTTCTGGGTGTGAATTCTCAGTTTTGTTCTATTGTTCTGGAGATTTCTGGTATGCTGTTAACTTACTAGTATGAGATCTCTCCATTTTTTTTTTTTAAATATAGGCACTTTTAGTGCTGTGAACTTGCCTCTTAGAACTGCCTCCATTTTGTCCCATAAGTTTAGGCACATTGTGTATTCATTTCATTCAATTCTAGAAAGTCTTTTCTTTAATTTCTTTCTTAATTTCTGTCTTGACCTATTTTTCATTCACTAGTGAGGTTTTTTTTTTCAGTTTCCTTTAGTTTGTAAGCTTTCTGTTGTTTCTTTTACTGTTGATGTCTAGCTTTAATCTGTAGTAGTCTGCAGAAGGGGGCAGGGAGGGAGGAAAGTTTTCATTAGGTGGTCTGCTACAGAGCTGTGGTTGAGACTTGATGATTGGATTTCAAAGAGAAGGAGAGGAGAAGATCTGGTCAGGCTACCTACCTGCTTCCCTGGCAGGAGTCCTATTTTAACTCTATAAACAAAACAAAACAAAACATTTAAACAAATAAATAAAAAAAACACTTTTCTTCATTGGGATTTCTGGTTTACATTGAATGTGACAACTGAAAATGAATCTCATTACTGCCACCTGTCATGTGAACCTTTGAAGATGTGCCAACTTAATTTCCAGGATTGAGAATTTATTTTTCATAACTTTACTGTGAGAAGGATGAATGGTCCAATCCAAAACACAGTGTCTACAACTATTCCTCTAGGTAAATTGATCTCTCAGAGTTACCAGACATTTTTTCAAGTGCATATCAAGAGGGTGAATTCATATCATATGTAGGGATCCATAAAGTGAGAAATTTATAGAGTGTCAGCTGACAAAAAATTATACATACATGCATGTATTAATTAATTGATTTGGGCACATATGATGACTCTTTGAAAGTATTCTGAAGGACTTTTATCCAAACAAAAATTATTTTAAGCATAAAGGAAGCCCAAAAGTGATTACGCTCCCTTTCTAGTTTGAAAAACATGCAAGAATAAATTATTGCGAGGCACAGTTATAGGAGCTTCAAGGAAGGAAATGATTCCAGCCTCCTTTACAGTCACAACCATCTTCCACACTGAAAGATGGGTGGCGGAAGGAAGGGGAGCTTTCCAGACATATGGACCAGCCCCAGATTCACTCCTCAGCAATTGGTTGAGGGGTCTGCATGAAACAGAAGCACTGAGCTCGCTAGTGCATGGAGGCCCAGGGCCTGGTTTCATGTACTCACAGATGGAAAATCAAAGTACATACAAGTGACAGTGTACAGTGTAGGAGACCTCACTAAAAAGGCACAAGTAGGTCTCACTCAGCATTGGCACTCTCCTCTGATACTGTATAACACAACTGGAAGAATTTCTTATTTTGCCAAATAGACATTGTTGAAAGAAAAGACACCTTTAATTTCTCTTGTAATATAAGTTGAATGGATATAGATCTGACATCCATAGCACATGAACTTGACCTCAAATCCATAACTATAATGGAGGAAACAGAGTTGGGATTTCAGACCCGAGCAATGGAAACAAGCATCTATGAACTATGACTTCAATAGGAACGTTAATTCTGGTTTTGGAGTACAACTTACATTGTAATGGAATGTGAATGTCTTCTATAGTCATATCCAAGTGCATTCTTAGGAAAAGAAAACACTGTATGAATCAAGTCCCTGGCAGAGAAGCCCTGGTACAGGATTTGCTGCCTAAAACAACTTCCTTAGCCTCTTTTCACTGACTCCTTCCTACTGAATCGGTATGCTATATCGAACAGGATCTTTAAAATACCTACTCAGTGGAGTCTTCTGAGTCTATTAGAAAAAGTTGAAAGTCAAGGTCATAATCTAATTAGGGATGTTACACTTACAGGACTACAACATGTAGAGAGGTATGAGTTATCTGATAATAGTATGTCCTTACACATTTTATAAATAAACATGCACTCTATGTAGCTAATGAAAAAACATAGGTTCTATCTTAAATAATTATATTAATTTAGATCATTTCAAAAAATTATCTGCCCTCTAAATTAAGAAACATATGTACTAAGTATAATTTTATATACTTTTATTCATGCTTTTCCTCTTCAGCATTAAAATGTAGAAAAATTGCATTGCTTGGTGCTTTGCAGATCCTTGATACAGTGTTTAGAACAGATCAAAGAGTACTTTTTTAAAACCAAGTATATACCTACAAATCACAACAATAAATCAAATTGCTAATAAACTTCAAATTCTTGAAAGTTTAAAACATTTAGGGGACAATATGGATGTAATCTTTAGTAAATTCATATGAAATTTTCAGAACTGATCCTCTTCCTGATATCAGGGAATTGACAAACATTTCATTACCAAATAATATATTATCTTATTTACAAAGGAGATATGAAACACAGCTGAACCAATGGAGCAAAGATTCATGAAACCAAAGGACCATTGCTTATGTTATTGAGAAAAGACAAAGCAGAACCTTGCTTAATCTCTCCTACTTCAGGAAACTATCAAAATAGGTTAATCTCACTCCTTTATTGGGTAGTATTTTTCAATTCATGTTTGAAATATTACAAGATACACAACTCCAGACAGGAAATAAAAATAAAGGTTTTACCCTGCTGTGGTCCAGTACTTTCTTTTTTGTTAAGTAGAGAAACATCAGCAACAAAAACAAGACAGCCCACTGGAATCTGTACTTTATAACCCCAAGACAACTGAGGTGTGTTTTAGCTGTAGCATCCTTTCCTTAGGCCAAGGAAGTGTTCAGCCCTCTTCTGTGCAGACTTCTCCTTGCTCTTTTCAGAGAATAAAGGAGGAAATAAACCTCTGATGATTTAGCTTGTCTCCACAGGCAGCTGTGACACTTCTCTGAACACTGCTTCTGAGAGGATCATACTAAATCCCAGGCAGATGATGATGACGTGTCATGCTGAGAAGCAGCAACCTGTGGCTATGATTAAAGAATGGCCTTGCCAGCTCCGGAGAGATTTCTCTTCTCTTGCCTTCAGCACCATGTTAGTCGTCGACTCTGGTGAAAAAAAAAATATATGATGGCAAAGAAAGGTGATTGGTGGAATATGGAGGAGCACTGTACAATAATAGCTCTAAGAGAACCATCTTGAGACATATTTTCCCAGCGGAGAAGTCAAAGGTCAAACTTGATATACTGAAACAGTTTCCCAAGTAGTAAATGCCATATTTATGAAGAGAACATCAACACGGCTTGATAATTACCAGGGCCAGGAAGGCAGATGAGCATTGTCACTAGTGCCAATTTCACGAGAGAGTGATGTCCTCAGTAGAGCCCAGATGGCTTGTTTGAATGAGAAAGCTGATTATACCAAGAGGCTAGTATGCCTGAGAGTTCCATTTATTGATCTGTGAGCAGGACCACGGGAGAACCAGCTATGAATATTGATTCAGGAGTGTGGTGAGAGCTAGATATGATGAGGCATTTAGAACTCTTAATGCACCTGAGGAAATCAGAACAACCAAGGTACACATCTAATGTTGGAAGCCTTTCCACTCCTTCAGTCTCTTCTACTTTCTATCGAAAACAACTAGAAGAAATCCCATCTGTTTAAAACACAGTCCACAGAATGAAGAACATCAGCAACCAGTTTTAAGTGAAGGTGCTTGCCTGCAAGATTAAGACAAAATATCCAAGAAGTGCTGGAACAGTGAAATAAAGAATAGATAAAGTCAGTCCTAACAGCTCGAACCAGATCTGCTTCAGGAGCAAATCTGACCGTAACATTGCTCCATTTGTCTTTGTATGGGTCCTGATGCTGTGGACAGCAGCTTCCGTTTTTAGAAGTATATGGCCACTGTTGATTCTTTCAGTGCCTGATGGGTACCCAGCCAGAGGAAAGAACATTTTCTGCTCCTCAGTCGTCTTTACCTGAATCTCCACTGTTCTCCGGGAAGCAGCATCACTCCATACCAGCAAACCTGACTGAGGGCATAAACTTTGATGATGTAAACTGTCTGGGTTCCTCTAGACTGAGCCTCCCTGTGGGCTCTAAAAAACACTTTTAGATTTCTCACATTAATGATTAAAGCTCACTTAGCAATTCTGAGTATATTAAGTTACACAAAACAAGTTCTTGATGATTCATACAGAGGAAAAACCAACTCAGATGCAGAAATATTAATCTGAGAAATTTCATTCCAGTTTGCCTTCAAGAAAGTTTGTATATGTAATTTTGCCTTGTGAGGGCTGTGTGAGAATATGCCGCAGGGCTGTACCCTGGGTTTGTAGATGTTGGTTGTTGGTGAAATTGGTCTTTGTGTTCAGTGATGGACTTCCTTGCTATGTGAGTCTCCTTCAAGTTCCTGCCAATAAGGAAGCACTTATACTGGATTCCAACCCAAACTGATGACTTTACTTCAATATAATGAAGAACCTGTCCCCACGTAAGACCAGATTCTGATGAATGAGAATTTCTACCACGTGTGTGTGTGTGTGTATGTGTGTGTGTGTGTGTGTGTGTGTGTGTGTGTGTGCACATGCATGTTAAGGACAGATGACAAACTTGGGTGTTGTTTCTTATGAGGTGCTCATCTTTTTTGAGACAGGGTCTCACTGAGACCTGGGGCTCACCAGTTAAGCTAAGATGGCTAGCCTGTGAGCTCCAGGGATCTGCTGGCCACCATCTTCCCAGGATGGGGATTGTCGGCACCTGCCACCACACCCAGCTTTTAACATGGCTGCCCGAGACTGAACTCAGAGCCTCATGACTCTCGGACAAGCACTCTATTGTTCAAGCCGTCTTGCTGACAACGTTGGAAGTTTGAAAGTTCAATTTAATTCATAAGAACAAATAATCTGCATTCAGTTTCTGCACATGGAATAGCTGACTGCTTAGAGTGATGAAGTGCATATTATCAGGTTGACCACAGTAAAGATTATGATTAATCTATTAGATTTATGGCACAGAGAGTGGTTTTCAGTTTTAACACAGAACTTAGAGACAACACATGACTTGAGCAAATAGTAGAAGAGCAGTACAGTTACATTCGTGATGATAAAAATGATTTTCAATCTCAGTGTTTATTTGTAGCATTTTAGTGAAACTCATCATGCTAAGAAATGTTCAAAGACTACCTGTGATAGTAGACAACGCACTTACCTTTAACTTGATAATTTTAGAGAGACGCAAGTTTATCTCAGCCACCAGAGGGAGCTCCACGTCACTACCGAGTAAGGAATAGCTGCACTGTTGTAAACAAAAACAGAAATTGAATTTATAAAAATAAAAACTTAGGAATATAGCTGTACTTATAATTACAATATTTTAACATGCTCACCTAGTCAACTTTAAAAATATCGTACGTATGTGTGTGTTTTCCGAGGGGGAGGGCATCTGTGTTCCAAGGTGTGTGGAGGTCAGAAGACAACTAGGGTCAGCCAGTTCTCTCTTTCTATTATGTAGGTCCTGGGGATTGAACTTTGGGTCACTGGGCTTGGTGGCAGGAGCTTATATCCACTGAGCTGTCTCCCCAACATTTTAGTCACGTTAACAACATTCTCTCCCACAACAGAACACACATCCATTACAAGACCTGGAACACCGTCAGGGAGCTGGGAGCTGAACTGTATTCAAAGCATTAAACATGTCTTTAAAGACTGTAAACCATTTTAAGACATACAAGCTGTTTTACCTGGTGACAAAAATACTGACCAAATAATGGAAATATTCCTGGAAAACAATAACAATTTTTAAACAAATGAGATCTTTAAAAATAGCACATGAGTTAAGAAATAAATTAAGAGAAAAAAAGTGAAGTATTTGGTGCTAAATGAAAATTCCACATCAAAATATGTGGATTTTTGATAAAGCAAAAAAAACCTAGAAAGAATTTTATTAGTAACAGACATCTTTCTCAGAAAATGAATTGGCCTTAAATCAGTGAACTCAGATTGCCTAAGTAAATGGATAAATAAACTAAAGACAGCAGAGAAAACTAACGTGAAAGGAAGAACAAAATGTAAGAAACAGAGACAGAAGAGAATGAGGTGAAACCTCCTGGTCATTAATAAAGCTACATCTCTGTGCAGCGGATGATCAGAAACAAGGAAGACACAGAGATGAATGGAGGCTGAGAATCCATGACATCACCAGAGATTCCATAGGGCTGCTGTCAATTGCAGTGTTTGTAACCTGTGACTAGACAACAGAATACCTTTGTGTGCTCACTGACCTTCCCCATCTGCTTTTCTAGTGGTGATCGTAATAGGGTTGTTTGTTGGTTTGTTGGTTTGTTGGTGTGTTTGTTTGGTCTTTTCATGTTATTGAGACAGGGTCTCACTCTATAACCCAAGACGATTTGATTCTCTGTAGTCCAGATTTGATGCTCTCTCTTTGGGGCCTTCACTGCACTGTTTTCTTATCCCATTTCATTCTGATACTATATATGCATCCTCCCTCTTCCCATTCCAGACACAGAGTTTCTGTAGACATGCTAGGAAGGTACTGGGAAACACAAGGATCAAATACATTAACGAAGACTGTCTTCAGATAAAATAAAATGAATGCTAACAGAGTCAATGAGTTGAGGATGACTGTGTTCAGACAGAATAATATTAGGTGCTAACTGAGCCATTAAATCATCTTTGGGTACATTCTTGGGAGGCTGATAACATCTATCAAAGGAAAAACCAGTTGGAAATGGAAGATGGAAAATGTGTTTCCCTATTAGCAAGAATGAGCATATTTTAATTATATTCCAACCACCTGCATTTCCTTTTTGAAATATATGTATTTGGGGGCAACTTTTGTAAGTCTTGCCCCCAAAAATAAAGTTTTTTTTAAATCTTTTTAGAAAAAGATAAAGCATTCTCTAATTCTGAACCACAAAAAGAATCAGTACATGGAGACTTGTGATAAGATCAAAATCTTTTTTTCTAAGATAATTTTTCTCCTATTTTTGTATCTCTATTTACATAATTTGCTTCACTCTCATTTTTAAATAATTTATTCTAAACAGAACTTCCACATACATTAAGTTTCTGGCAAACACTGCGCTAGTCTGAAAAAAGAGAAGACGATGTCCCACATATGTATTCCTTTCTTAATCCCCAGAAGCTGTGAATATTACCTTGCATGTCAAAAAGTGAGCATCCATCTTATTTCCATATGAGTCTTTACAGATGTAAGAATCTTCAGGTTAAGATATTCGAGATTGTTCTGGGATATGGTTATCATCACAGTGTCTTTAGGAGAAAAATCAAAGGAAGGCTTTATACATAAACAAACACACATATGTACACACATGCATACACGCATGCTTACATGCATGGACACCCACGCACAAGAAAGTAGAGACTGGATTAACACAGTTAGAAGCCAAGAAACATTAATAAATCTCTAAAATCTCCTAAGGCTGTGAAGAGTGAAGAATGAATTCTCTCTGTACATGATGATAACTTCTTTTCAATTTCAGGCTCTGATCTTCAGAATTGTGGGCTAAGTTTATGGGAGTTTGTTATAACAATCCCACAAAATTATTTTAGCTATTTGATTTCTTTCATTCAAAGTTTGGGAATTTATCTAGGAGAAAGCCCTAGTATCTAATACACTCCTATCTTGTCATTTAGAGGAGGAACTGAAATCGTGGTTCAATCTACCATTTTCGTTTCAAATTGACACTTTTTAGTAAGTCACAGAGATGCTGCAGGCAAATCAATACCAATTATACGATGCCAGTTGGAAACCCTTGAGCACTTTCAGTTCAACTGCGTGCTGATCAGCAGCCAGTGAAGTTGGCTTTCACTCATTAATGGATGAGCAACATTTATGAGTCTGGCCAGTTTCAGTTATATGTGATTTCTCTTAACTTATTTAATAGATTCATTAATTATATTGAATAGAGAGAATTTTTAAATAATCCAACTGAACTAAAATTTCATTATCTATATCTTCTAATCTACATCCATCCTGAAATTAATGTTTGTATTGGCTCCCAATGTAATAAGCGCCAAAGAATTTGTCATGCTTCAGTAACAAGATCCAGTCTGCACATCTATCACCAGGTCATTTACAGAGCTCATCTCCAATCTTAAATGGGTTTGAATAGTTCTGTATTACACCTTTTAAATGAGGTAAATGAGAGTTTGAAAGACAAAGCATTTTTTCCTGAAAGTCACAAAGTTACTGAGATAGACAGAAATTAAAGTCCTTTGACCTCTTAGCCTCTCTAATATTTACATTACTCAGCCTTCCACTGAACTCTGATACCTGCTAGCTCACATTATTTTGAACATTTGCTTTTGTTTTGTTTCAGAGAGATGGGGGAGTTGGGTAGGCAGTGAGGGGAGAGGATCTGGGAAACTTGGGGGAGGGAAAACATATGACCAAAATATATTATATGAAATTTTTAATAAAATAAAACAAATAATTTGCAACAGATTTGGATTTGAGCCTGTGGTTTGGTTTTGTTTGGCCTTTTTTCTTCTCTCCATCTCTTATTCTGTTTCTTCTCCATCCCCTCTCCTTTCCCTTCTCCTTCGAAGGGTCTTGGAGTTGGCCTGCAGGTATAATCAATAGTCTATCTAATGACAAGAGTTAGGACTACATGTCCTTACTCTATCTTATATGCTCTATTGTGCTTCAAATTACTTTATTCTAAAAATCTATCACTTTTACTTGGGAAATTATTTAATTATCTTTTTATGTTCCTGTTCTTCTTATTATCTGAAATGGTCATTTTCCAGATGTACAACTTACATTATTTCTACATCATTTGCAATTCTGCTTTCTCATGTCACTGATCTCCTTGTATCCATATGCCCACAAAACTACTTCTGAAACTCAGGCATCTCCCATCTAAAATGACAGTCTTTAAGTGTTAAGTTGGGATTATAGACCTATTAAAAACCTATGATGATATTTTGTTTGTGCTCTAACAAATAAAGCTTGCCAAGAGATCAGAGGGCAGAGTTAGCCATTAGTTGACCATAGAGGCCAGGCAGTGGTGGCACACACCTTTAATCCCAGCACCTGGGAGGAGGAAATATGAAGTGATACGGCTGAGCAGAGAGAGGACGTGATAAAACAGGGCGGAGACAGGAGCTTGGCCTCTTTCAGGCTGAGGAGTTGGTGAGGTAAGAGGTGGCTGTGGCTTGCTCCTTTGTCCCTCTGATCCTTTGGCATTTACCCGGTTATCTGGCTCCGGGTTTTTATTAAGACCAATTAGAATTTGCAGTACAAAAAACAGAATAGAAACTCATTCCCTAAAATACATTTATAGACAAATGTACATAAAGTTTCATGGAGCTCATAGATAACATGCAGCAGCTCCTCACTCTACAGACTCAAAACCCTGCTCTTTGTTGAGTATTTTCTCCTCCTGTCTCAGATGTTTCTGTCTTTCCTTCATCTTTCACCCGATTCTCTAACTTCTACCTCAAGTACATTCATTAAGAAGATTTTAATATAAACATTCTAAAAGAAACCTCTGAGTACGCCAAGCCCTGGAAAAGGTATCTTGGAGTCAGCACGCCATCTCTGATAAAATTAATATATGCCATGCATTTCTTCCCGGCTCTCCATTCAGTGAGCTCAGAGTAAGCAAACCGTAGCTTGACATCCTCGTGGTGAAGGACTGTAATCCAAACTGTTTACTATGAGATAAAGTTTATGAGCCCAACATTGCCTGCTTTTTCAAAGGCCAGTGTTTCTCGTTGCCTAAAGTCAAATTCTTAAGCACGTGCAGGCTTTTGTAATTTGACTGTAAGCTTCATTTCTAGCTCCATTTTGCACCTTTCTCTGTGGACCATATACCATAAATCTCCAATCCCCAAGCACACCAAGCTGCTCTTACCAGTTGGCTTTTCACATCAGAGAGCCAGCATCTACCAGTCTCAATACCAACAATTCTTCCCAAGGCCCACATCCATTTTACTTAGAGTGACCCGAAAGCATTGACCTTTCAGCTCTTTCACTCAAAAGTTATCCATATTTGTCCTCTAATAACAACACTTTGCTCTTCTTGTGGCATCTACCAATTCTTTAATAAATATTTATTTAGCAACCCCTGGGCATTGACAATATAACTGTCTGGTTTAAATTTATTATAAATTTCTTCTGAGCCAAGATTGAATTATTTGATTATCCAGATTTACCCTCCATGAATAGATGTTTTTCAGTTGTAGATGTGATATGCAATAAATGTTTGTTAAATGTAATCAAAATTCTTTTTGGTCCTTATATAATGCAATATTGTTTTGTCTCCCCCCCTCCCCCTCCCCCATACCCCCCTGCTCCTTTCTCAGTACTAGTACTGAACCCAAGGCTTCGGGAACGCTATTCCAGAACTCCACCACGGCTCATGTCATCGGGTAGAACTCCAGGGAGCAAAGCAGGAATGGATGTTTAATATGTGCGCCAGCTACCATTCCACAGAGGTGAACACTGGATAAACCATTAACAGAGTAGAAGCTATGCCTTTAAGGCAAGCAAAGAACTTCCGGGTAATTAATTCCATGGAGGTTAATTTGTAACCTGTTCTTAACATCATTTGATCCTGCGCTGTGCACTCCTACTGAGAACAGTTTTAGACCAAGTTACTTTTAGAAGCAGGTTTGAGGATCTATGCTTTCTCCTGGCTTTGGTGGATATTAACTGAATTGGATATAACATCTTTCCGATGACTCATTCCTCACCCCAGTCAGGAAGAAGTATTATTTCTATTCCTAAATTCCCAAAGAGGAAAGTAAGGCAAGAGAAGACTGTGTGGTTTGTTCCCATTTAGCATGAAATGTGGATGGCATATGTCCTGACACAAAGCAACCAGACAGCACTTTAATTGCTCATCTAACCTCCAGAAAGAGTCACCATCTGCTGAAATTCGGAAGACTGGAAGATTATAAAACCCAACAGAAAGCTGAAAGCACATAATAAACCATGTACCTAGTCATCAGTCTCGGAAAGAATCCACAGCAAAGTGTAAGCGATCAGGTCAAGCCAGCCAGGGAAGCAAGTAGGCTAACTGCAGGTCTTCACCTCTCCCTCCTCTCTCCAGATCCAATCCCACAGTCTCATCCCCATTTCTGTGGCTGACCGCCAGCTGCATCCCCCATCCCCTTCTCCCATCTCCAGAAGCTCAGGCAGATCTTCTCCTCCAGCCTTCCTTCTGACTCATCCTGTCATCCCAGCTCTCAACTCCAGCAGGCATTCCCTGAGAACCCACCAGCCAAGCCTGCCAGAGAAGTAAGTAGGCCAGTAAAGCAGGTAGGTGAGCTTCAGATCTTCACTCCCCCACTTCCCACCACTCCCCATAGTCGCCCCCAGTCTCATCCCCAGCTCTGTAGCAGACTAAATATTTTGGCCTCTCCACAATCTCTGCCCCCAATTTCAGGTGACTAAGCAGGTCTTAGTGGAACACTCTGCTTTCCCACTTCCTGTGGACACCCTCAGCTGCACCTCCCAGCCCAACCCCATTCCTAAGTGTCATCTCCCAACACCTAGAAACACATTTTACCCAGAACCCCAATAACCACACCTAGCAGGATCTCAGAAGAATTCCCCACCAGGTGACACACACTTGCCATACCATACCTTCTTAATAAATAGAAAGGGCAACAGAAACCAAGGACCCAAACATCCACCCACAAAACAAGGCACCTAGAGTTACACTCACGCTAAACCCAGATGCCTACATGCCAGTGCAAAAACATAATCAATAACATTCAGGACCAATAACATCCCAGCAACCTTACCAGAGTAGGCCTTGAGAATTGCATCATAACTGAAGAACATGATGAAGACCTTGAAATAGCCTTTATGAACATGATAGATTCTTAATGAGTAAATGAATAAATTCCTTAAAGAAATCTATGAAAACACAAAAAAAGTAGAAACAAACGAATACAGCAGTTCAAGACCTGAAAGTGGAAATAGAATCAATAAAGAAAACCCCAAAAGGGAGAAATCTGGAAAAATTTAGTAACTGTAACAGGAACCCCAGAGGCAAGTCTTACTGACAGAATAAAAGAGGTAGAAGAAAGAATCTCAGGCATTGAAGACATGATAAAAGAAATGGATACCTCGGTCAAAGAATATGTTAAATCTAAAACACTCCTGGTGCAAAGCACTCAGGAAACGTGGGACACTATGAACAGACCAAACCTAAGAATAATAAGAATGGAAGAAGGAGTGGAAACCCAGGTCAAAAGTACAGAAAATATTTCCAATAAAATCATAGAAGAAAATTTCCCTCCCTAACTTAAAGAAGGAGATGTCTATCATGGTACAAGAAGGATACAAAACACCAAATAGACTGGACCCCACCCCAAAATTCCCCTCAACACATAACAGTCAAAACGCTGAATGTATAGAACAAAGAAAAAATGTTTAAAGCTGCAAGGGAAAAAGACCAAGTCACTTATTGAGGCAGAAATTTAAAATAAGACCTGACTTTTTTTTTGGGTTTTTCGAGACAGGGTTTCTCTGTGTAGCTTTGCGCAAGACCTGACTTTTCAATGGTGACTCTGAAAGACCACAGATGCCAGCAAAACTTTCAATCACAATAGATGGAGAAACTAAGACACACCATGATAAAAACCAAATTCAAGCAATATCCATCTACAAATTCAGTCATACAGAAGGTTCTAGAAGGAAAACTTTGACCTAAAGAGGTTAACCACACCCAAGAAAACACAAGGAATAAATAATTCCAGGCCAGCAAAAGAGGGGAACACACACACACACACACACACACACACACACACACACACACACACACACACGAGCCACCACCACTATAACAAATACAGGAATAAAATCATTGCTCATTGGTAACTCTCAACATCCATGGTCTCAATTTCCCAATAAAATAGAGATTAACAGAATGGATGTGAAAACAGGACCCGTCTGCTGTATCCAAGAAACATTCCTTAGTATTAAGGATAAACAATACCTCAGGGTAAAATGATAGAAAAAAACACCTTCCAAAACTGAATCTAAGAAGCAAGATGGTATAGCCATTTTAATATCTTATAAGATAGAACTCAAATCAAAAATAATAGTAAGAGATAAGGAAGGATATTACATACTCAACGAAGGAAAATTCCTCCAAGAGAATTTTGCAATTTTTAACCTATATGCACCCAGACACAATGGCACCAAAGTTCATAAAAGAAACATCATCTGTTGTCAATCATCTGTTGACCCTCACACACTGACAGTGAGAAACTTCTGCTCCCTGCTCTTGCCATTAGACAGGTCATCCAGCAAAAACTAAACAGAGAAATGCTGGCTTTAAATGATGTCATAAACCACATGAACCTAACAGATATTTACAGAGCATTTCACACAAACACAAAAGAGTATACCTTTTTCTCTACACATCATGGAACTTTCTTCAAAATGACAACATACTCGGACACAAAGTAAGTCTCATCAGATAGATGAAAATGGAAATAACACTCTGCATCCTATCTGACCACTGTGGATTAAAGCTGGATGTCAACACCAAGAGAAACAACAGAAAGCTTACAAACTCATGGACACTGAATGACTCTATTGAATAAAAAATGGGTCAAGACATAAATTAACCAAGAAATTAAATACTTCCTAGAACTGAATAAAAATAATTACCCAACATAAGCAAATTTATGGGAAGTAATGAAGGGGATTTTAAGAGGCAAGTTCATAGCACTAAGTGACTACATAAAAAAAAAATTTGGGAGAGCTCTCATACTCCTTTTTTTTTTCTTTTGAGGCAGGATTTTTCTGTGTAGCTTTGGCTGTCCTGGAACTCACTCTGTAGACCAGGCTGGCCTTGAACTCACAGAGATCCACCTGTCTCTCTCTCCCAAATTCTGGTATTGAAAGTGTGCACCACCAATGCCCAGCTGTTCTCATAGTCTTAACAGTAACCTAACAACACACCTGAAAGCTCTAGAACAAAAAGAAGAAATAACACATAAAAGGAGTAAAAGCAAGAAATCATCAAACTCCAGGCAGACATCAATAATAGAAATGAGAAACTAGTCCAAAGAATCAGAGCTGTTTCTTTGAGAAAAATCAGTAACTGAAAGGCAAAGAGAGAATATTCAAATTCATAAAGTTAGAAATGAAAAGGAGGATACAAAACAACCACTGAAAACAGTCAGAAAATTATCAGGACACACATTAAAAAGATGTACTCCACCAAATTAGAAAATTTAAAATAAATAAATTTCTCAATACCTAGCACCTATAAAAGTTAAATTATGTTAGCCTGTGTTACCACTGAAGGCCAGGTAGATGTCCGTGGTCTGTGCTGCTGACTGAAGCCAAGTTGATGTCTGTGGGCCAGGATGTCACCAGGGACCATATTGGTGTACAAGGCCAGTGTTACCTGGGGGGCCGTGTTGATGTCCTCGGACTGTGCTGCCACTGGAATTCATTCTTAGGTCCATGGCACATGCTGACACCAGAGACCATGTAGATGTCCCTGGTCATGCTGTCCCCAGAAAACATGTGGAAGTTCATGATCTATGCTCTTGCTGACTGTAAAAGGCAAGGAAGCTACTTTTGTAGTAGTGTCAATGAGTGCAGACTCACAGTTGAAAAAGAGTGATATGGAAGTCTTCTGCAACAACCTCCACCCCAACCCATCCCCATCCTCCCCCGCAAAGTGATAGCCTAGACAGGAAGCCATTGAAGAGAACTCTTAATTGTGATAAGGATGCTGATGTGTAGTTCTCTACAACTGATGACTTCTGGCGGGGGTGGGGGTGGGGAAGGACTCAGTTTTCTTTAAGGGGCTGGCCACTGGAAGTTTGACCATGCTCCAATGAGTATGTAGGCAACAGAAATTGGACTTGTTTTTTCTCCTTTTTTGGGAGGGGGCTGGTCACAAGGGTTGGGGATCAGACCTGGAAGGACTGGAAAAGAGTGTGATTGGATGCATGATGCAAAATTCCCAAATAATCAATAAAAACATTATGTTGGAAAAAAGTTAAATCAAGACCAGATAAGCAGTTTAAGTAGATCTATAACCCCCAGTGAAATAGAAGAAGCCATTAAAAGTCTCCCAACAACAAAAAGCCCAGAGGCAAATGGTTTTAGGACAGAATTCTCTGAGATTTTCTCCATAGCTATTCAATATAGTACTTAAAGTCTTAGCAAAAGTAATAAGACAACTGAAGGAGATCAAGGGGACACATTGGATAGAAAGAAGTCAAAGTATCTTTATTTGCAAATGATATGATAGTATATGTAAGTAACCTTAAACAAATCCACCTGGAAACTCTAGCATCTGATAAAGACTTTCACCAAAATAGTAGGATACAAATTAACTCACAAATAATTGGTAGCCTTCTTATATATCGAAAAATGGAAATGAACAGAGAAATGAATCAGGGAAACAGCATATTTTGCTTAAACCTTGATTAATATAAAATATCTTACAGTAATTCTAACCCTGCAGGTAAAAGATTTACATGACAAAAATATTGACATTGAAGATAGTAGAAGACAGAAAGACCTTCCATGCTCATAGATCAGTAGGGTTAATACAGTAAAAATGGCCATCCCACCAAAAGCAATAAATAGATTCAGTGCAATCAAAATTCCAACACAATTCTTCACAGATCTTGAATGGACAAGTTTCAGCTTCATATGAAAACACTAAAAACCCAGAATAGCTAAAAAAACAAAACAAAACAAAAATCCTGACTAGTAAAAGAACCTCTAGAGGTAGCACTATCCTCAAAGTCAAATTTTACTACAGAGCAATAACAATAAAAACAGCATGATATCAGCACAAAAACAGACCAGTTGACCAATGGAATTGGAAGACCCAGACATAAATCCACACACCTTCCTATGGACCTATCCTGATTTTTGGATAAAGAAGGCAAAAATACACACTGGAAAAGAGACAGCATCTTTAACAAATAGCACTGGTCAAACTGCATGTGTACATGTAGAAGAATGCAAAGAAACTCATGCTTATGACCCTGCAAAAAATTCAATTCCAAATAGACCAAAGGCCTCCACACAAAACCAGATACACTGAACATGATAGAAGAAAAAGTTGGTGAATAGTCTTGAAGTCATTGACATAGGAAATGACTTTCTGAATAGAACACCATTAGCACAGGTACTAAGAACAACAATTAATGCATGGGACCTCACAGAACTGAAAAGTTCCTGCACAGCAAAGGCCACGGTCATTTGCACAAAGCAGCAGCTAACAAAGTGGGAAAATATTTTACCAGCAGCACAGGCAATATAGGGCTAATATCCAAAATACATAAAAATTTAAAAAGCTAGATATCAAGAAAACAAATTACCTAATTAAAAATGGGTACAAATCTAAACAGAATTTTCAAAAGAGGAAACTCAAATGGCTGAGAAGGACCTAAAACAATGTTCAATATCCTTAGCCATCAAGCAAATGAAAATAAAACTACTATGACATAGCATCTTACACCAATCAGGACGGCGAAGATCGATAAAACAAATGGCAGTGCCTGCTGATGAGGATGTGGAATAAGGGGAACACTCATCACTTGCTGGTGGAAGTGCAAACTCTTTACAGCCACAATGAAAATCAGTGTGGCAATTTTTCAGGAAGATGGCAATCTATCCATCTCAAGATCTAGTTATAACACTCTTGGGCATATGCTCAAAGGATGCATCTTCCAACCATAGAGACACTTTTCCAACCGTCTTCATTGCTGCTCTATTCATAACAGTTAGAAACAGGAAACAGCCTAGATGTCCCTCGATAGATGAATAGATTTTTTTAAAAATGTGGTACATTTCCACAATGTCATGTTATTCAACCACTAAAAAAAAAAATGAAATCACGAAAATTGCAGCTAAATAGATGGAACTAGAAAAGAATCATTTGGAGAGAGGGAACCCTAATCAAGAAAGACAAATATGGTACAAATTCACTTATATGTATATATTATCTTTTAAGTCAATGATAATCAAGCTATAATCCATAGAACCACAGAGGGTAGGTATAGAGTAAAATACTGAGATATATAATCCAAAGAAAAGGGAAATATAATAGATTGTATAAACAGATCATCAGGGTAGGGGAACTGGACAGGAGGGTCAAGTGGGGAAGAGAAGTAAAGAAGGGATAAAGGAGGGAATACAGAGACGGGCAACTAAATTTGATGACCATTTTAGGGGTAATATGGGAACCTAATATAGTATGTTTTTCCTAAAGTATATACTGTGGTGGTATTGTGTTCCCCAAAATATTGTGCATCCTAAAGTTTATTTCCTCTCTTTTGTCTAAAATTAAAAAAGGCTTATAACTAATACAAGGAAAACTATGCAATAAGTATATACAATATATATAGTCAAAAATTACATTAAGCATTTGGCCTGGTTAAGCATTTTGGCTGGTTATGCATTCAGGCTTCTAACAGCAGCTCAGCTGAGCGCCATTGGGATGAGGACTCAGAAGCTTCCAGTCTAAGGAAACAAGACCAGCTGAGAAGTTGGCCAGGTGAGGTAGCTGTGGCTTGTTCTGTCTCTCTGATCTTCCAGCATTGACCCCAATAACTGGCCTTGGGTTTGATTTTATTAATAAGACTCTCTAAGATTCCTGCTACAATATACATGTATAAAAGTGATCTAAATGAAATTACCAAATAAGGGTGTGTGTGTGACAGAACCCCAACTAGATATTT